TATATATATATATATATATATATATATATAACAGGAAACAATGGCCGTGATGAAGAAACGCCGTGAGCTCGTCGGTGTAATGTTCAGGAGAGAAAAAGATGACCTTTCACTTTTACGTAACTGCGAACTATTTCCATATTTGAGCTGTAATTAGTATTGAGTGAGAGGGTATGTTTTTCTGTCGAGCATATAGCAACCCTCTTCCCCACTACCTACGCCTATGTATGGCTGTATCTAACACCAGGATATTGTACCAAATCTTTACTTGTTACAGCATGACACCTATCCTCACCATCATAATAACACAATTCCTAATACAAAGTTTATAAGACACTGATAATTCAGCGTGAGGATAACATATCATACACACACATACAATGTTAATACATCATACAAATATGGTTTATATGGAACGCATAATTTAGCGTGAGGATACTTCACAATACACACACAGTGTTAGTACATCATATAAAAAGCATTTTCTATACAATGTATAATTGTGTAATGAAAACATACAGTTACAGTATAAAGTATATTTAATCAATATCACTCAAACACAGAGAACATAAAGTTGGTCCAACTTACCATCAGCAGTAGAAGGAATAATGACAATCATTAACACCAGGAAGAGGCAGAAAACCTCGGCTACCCTGGTGGAGGGCATCAGACCGCCTGGAACACCTACAAAATTAACAAAACAAAAACTCAAACAAACAATACTGGCCTGAACGTCGATTCTCCTATATGGGTGGACACTCTGGCAACAGGTCAGCAGATGAGGTAAAGTGTTTGTTAGTCTTGTTTTTTTTAACACTTTATTTATGAAAGTGGATCTCTTTCTACTTTATGTGAAGAATTAGCTCGAGAACCATCAGTAAAGTATGGCCCTGATTAACACTGTTATTCGAAATGACGCTAATATCAGAAATTTCTTAAATACTGGCTTTACGATGGAAAGATTAATTTCAGATCCATACAATAGCTGAGTGACAACCTCTTCCCATTTCATATTTCCGTTACTTATCACGTGTTTTCCGTTCCTCTATACAACCATTAGACAACGGTGTAAACCTTTTTCCATTGCACTATATCGCGGGCGTAGTAAATTCCGCATTTTAAAATTCTTTTTGACCTGTCTCTCAATAGATTGAAGAGAATCATGGGATACAAGGAATACGTCACGAACTGCATTCCATCTGATAAACAAAGGTCACGCACCCCCACAACTATCCACTGAAAGGCAAATATTAAAGGGCATTATTGTGCATTGAGTAAGACAACGTCTCCAAATCCTAAAACCTTGTCTGCGTCTGCGCAGTGCCGAATCTTATAGCAAGACAAACTCACAAATACCATTCTCAGCACTGGGGCCTACTCTAGTGCGATCTCGCGGGAATAACTGATCACATGGTATATACTTCCTAGCCAATGAATGTGCTCTATATTCGCTGCCATGACAACGTTTGGATGCACGCACTCAACATTACAGAATTGTAGATTGATCGACACCCTAGCGAAAAACCTGTACGATTGACTACTCATTGCACAATTATGTACACAGACACTGGAAAATTTGTCAGAAATTTGTACCCGACTAAACGATTCTACTTAAAATATAAGAGTTTCGGTAATCCAGGAACTAACCACGGGAACAGTAAATAAATACACTTTCGTTGTGTGTAATATAACACTGAGATATTTCATTTAGCAACAAAACACTCTTAACAATGCTGATACTTTAACACGTTTTTAAATCCCAGTCAACTAGCACACTGGAGCCATGATGTACCATTGTTCACACCAACTACATCAAAACTGCTTAAACTACGAGAAAATCAGCACGCTGTACCTTGATGTAACATTTTTCACATCAATTACATAAAAACTTAAACTACGGAGTAAAAGCACACTGGAACCATGATGTAACTGTTCACACAAACAATACCAAAACCGCTTACCGTATTTTTCAGTGTATAAGACAACATTATTTTACCCCAAAATTTGATGTCAAAATCTGCTTGCATTCTATACACCGAAGGTATGAGTAATATATATGTATATATACGATATACACAAGCCATGTGTAAATATATTTAAATAGGCAAGCATAGTTTAGTTCAATTGAATGTGTTATTTATA